TATTCGCAAGGGACCGTCTGCAAATTGCAAGTGGCCAAAATAACAACAAAAAAGGACTAAAAATCAAGAAATATATTTTTTCCAGTTTTGATGGGTGTAGTATCTCCTAATGAATGATAGACTACAGGCAACATTTTGGGAAAAATATTTTTTTCCCCTTCACATTATAAAAAATAAAATTGGAAAAATTCACTAAAAATCAACAAAGAAATTGTTCCGTATCGAGATACATCAAATCCTGTTTTGAGTGCCCTTGGTGTTTAAAAATTGGTATGTTATAGTGGTTATATATTTATCATACTTTGTATAAGGTAATTGCCAAACACATTCGGCAGAAAAATCACTACGAAAACACGTCAGGCATTATGACATAGCTACTTAGAATTGATTATACGACCTCACCTATGTTGCTCCACACCTTGTGGAGACACCGTTTAACACAGCTATAAGTTAAAAAAAGACCAGAATGAAAATATATCGCGATTCATCAAATCCTGTTATGAGTGTTGTGTTAAAATTATATGTCTATAGTGGCATAATACTTTTTTATCCTAATCTGTATAAGGTTAAATTGCAAAACATCTCGCGAACTTTGGAAAAAAAAGACAAAAAGTCGATACAATCTGTACCTGATATTTTAATAAAAATAGATTCAAAACTAAAGTCCATGGGAAGACTGGTCTCTGGAAGGAAATAACTTAACAAAGACATAAAGAGTCAAAATAAAAATCATGCGTTCTTTCAGAATACAACAAAACAACTTATATCAATAAATATGATAGTGAGTACCTATAAGAACATCTGGATTTTAGATTCATGGTTTGTGTTTTGGTAAATGTTGTTCATAATGTTTAATTTAATGGTTTGTGGTTTCGGTAAAATGGTGTAACAACTTAATGTTTAAGGTAAGTAAATTATGGTTGTTTAATCAGTCTTTAAAGATGAACTATTTCTGGTAACACGATCAATTGTATATCTGAGAGCTGTACGCCTTTAAATCATTTGATCTCGCGTAAAAGAAACCTGTCCCAAGGACCTTAGTTTACATCTACATCTCTGTCATCATGATAAGGCTATCACACACATACACCTAAAGTCTCGTTAACAGGGAGGACCTGCAACTTAGCTGTTTTAGAATAAACCGTGATCATAAATCACTTTAGACAGCTGTGAAAGCATTTACTTTATCACACACACACAGGGTCAACTGAAGCTAACTCATTAAAACTCTTTGAAAAAAAAGTGCAGTAACACTTTTTCACCACTTGCTCAAGAGCGCCGTCCCCTTTCTGGGGAGTTTTAGGGTGCAGTACCACCTTTTCACCACTTGCTCAATACTGCCGTCTTATATATCTACTTGTAGTCATCTCAGAGGACTTACCAAAAACTACTGAAAATCACCAACACAGATCGGAGAATCAGCAGTTAAAACACATAAAGACTATAGACCACTACATGTTGTAGAATATTAAAAGTGTCCTGGCTCATCACCACAGTCCTTCTAGTTTCTCAATAACTGTGTAACAAACCCATCCTGCATCAGCAATGAAAAACTCATATGAAAAAAAAAAAAAGTTTGAGAAAGGGATCTGCGTCACTCTAGTGATTCTTTATAGTCCTCCCACCGCCTTCATCATGATTCGCCTACACTGTTTGTTCTACGTTGATAGGCCGGGGCAGGTCCATCCTACCACCCATTCTGATTTGTTGTTAGTACTCCCTCCAAACCGTCATCATGATAAGGCTATCACACACATACACCTAAGTGTCGTTAACAGGGAGGACCTGCAACTTAGCTGTTTTAGAATAAACCGTGATCATAAATCACTTTAGACAACTGTGAAAGCATTTACTTTATCACACACACACAGGGTCAACTGAAGCTAACTCATTAAAACTCTTTGAAAAAAAAGTGCAGTAACACTTTTTCACCACTTGCTCAAGAGCGCCGTCCCCTTTCTGGGGAGTTTTAGGGTGCAGTACCACCTTTTTACCACTTGCTCAATACTGCCGTCTTATATATCTACTCATATTCTTTTCATAATGTAGATGTACTACTTTTTAAAAACTATTTCTAATGTCCCACTACTAGCTTAGGAACTACAAATACTGCAGCTTTAACTTAAGCTGGAGACCTTTTTAACTTTAATTATTCGAACCTACAAATGTTAACTTCACATATACACACAACTAGGGAAAAGGCTATAGTAAAAACAGATCAACAGATACTACAACAGTGCAATGCCGCTTAGTTGCCAAAGGTCAGTGTAAAAAGATGAGTCTTTAATAAAGATTAAAAAACATTTAAAAGGGCAGTATGTAAAAATCTGGCCAAAAGTGGTGATGCAATCTCTCCCACTCTCCCTGAGTCAGGTTGCCAGATATGCAAACGAATCCAGCTGGGACCATAATAATGATAACTGAAATTGTCAAACACAAACACCTTTTTCATGAAGGCCCTAATAGAAATCCTTGTTTTATTCTTTGTTTTGTCATTAATGATTTGAGAATCACAACGAGACTTTTTTAGTTATTCAGTTCGGCTCACACCGGACAATTAATTAAATAAAGATGGGGATGTAATTACTGCACATAGTGACTGCACGGCTGGGTAAATAAATAATCCTTCGAGGTAAAAGTGTTTGCTAGTGAAATTCTAGCGAGCCACTTTTCCTGCGTCTTTTCGTAAAGTCCTTAGTGCGAGGCTCTTTATTTATCGCTTCACGAGGAATCCTAAAGTATCCATTAAAGGTTTCTCGATTCGATCGGTTAGAAAACTTAAAACAACACATGCAAAAGGCAGATTCAGACACGCTGCTCTAGTGAACAACTAGCTCGGCTGACCACCACTTCGTGATACACATATGTAATGAGGCGGACGTGATGTCAATTGCAAGCAAGCAATAACAAGATTTAGGGGCTGTAATACTCATCTTGAAATCCAAATATCTCGGTGGAACTACTAAAGAAGTAATTGAAAAGAGCATGATTTATCAATGTCTTTTGTCATAATGAGACCATTTAAAGATGACATGAAAATCTTACATATTCCTACTTTAAAGAAGCTGCGCTAAAAAGAGACAAGGGGAGGCTGTTCCAGAGTTTAGGAGCAGTTACAGAGAAGGCCCTGTCACCTCTCATTTTCAGCCGTGATTTAGGTATGTTAAGCAGAAGCTGACCACTGGACCTCATCTGTCTGGAGGGAGTGTAAGGGGACAGCAACTTGGACAGGTTCCTGAAAAAAGTGTGCCTTGGCTCAAAAAAGGTTGAAAAACACTGCTCTAAAGAATAGGATGATGGAGCTGGGTGTTCACTTTAAAGAGTGTGCTGGAGTGTCACAGGGAACTGATGGGGTTTCTAAAGGGCACAGGGGTTTATGGTAGAGTGTAGAAATAGTCATTGTCATTATTATTTTATCCTTTTTTCTGTTTTTTTTTCCCTAGACATTCAGATTCAGATTCATTTATTTGCCATTTGCAGTAAAACCACATTGGAAAAACTGTGCAAGACTACCCCGGTAGTCATACACCATGAATGTCTTTTTTATCATAGTTATTATTTTTTTAAACGTTTAAAGTTTGTGAGCCACTGTCTAACAACAGTGTCACTCCATTTGCAGCTGTGTAAATGTGAGGATGACAGAGCAGAAGGTCCAGACCCAAGCCCCGGCGATCCAAGATGGCGCCCTATTCAAATGAATGATTGTGCTCAGTGGCGCTTTGTGACGGCATGGGGTGTCACTCCCGTATTCGTCCCGGAAACCGGATTCGTCCGGAAGTTCAGTTTGCGCATGTCAAAAAGTTTAATATGTCCTTAAGTGGAGACTGGTTAAGTTTAGGCGTCTGATTAAGATGGTTAAGTTTAGGCTGGGTTAGGTTTATTTTATGGGAATGGCTGGTTAAGTTTAAGCATGAATAGGTAGTTTTTTATATTTACTGCCGCTTCCGTCCAGATTCCGTGACGCAATCTACTGCTGCGTTTGCTCATTGGATCAAACTGAACTTCCGGACGAATCCGGTTTCCGGGACGAATACGGGAGTGACATGGGGGCTGAAAAGATTAGCGGAAGTTGCCTGAAACTCGCAAAGAACTTTGGGAAACTCGCAAAGATCTATGGGAAACTCGCCTGTATTTGGGCATCGTCTGGTCCTCCCGGTTCTGCGCAGTGGATGATCTCCCATAATGCGTTGCGCCAAACACGCGTGTGTGGGTCTCACACCGGGTCTCACGCACGTGCACAGAGGGGCTCGGCTGCGCTCTGACCAATCAGAGCAGTTCATCAGAGCAGGAGTTAGAGCGAGAGCCAGCCGAGCAGAGTTTGTGGCACTAAAGTGTGGATTTAAACAAAACCGAAGGATTTAAGAAGAAAAAAAGTTCAGGATGACAAGGGACACTAAAATCTCCACAAAATCCGACCTTTATGAAAGCTGTAGGTTCTCTGTCAGCTGAGGTTGAGCTGTTTTAATATGCATTGAGTTCTATGGGGAAAATTTCTGGGTAGCCCACGTGAATTTAGTCTGGTCTAGTCTGCAGTACCGCGAGAATCCCCTGCGCACATGGGTTATTCAGCTACAAGCTAGTAATACCCTATCCAGTTAATATAATAGATCCATGGGTCCAGACCGCTGCGGATGACAAGAACACCAATTAACAGAGCATTACCGCCACCTTCTGTTCCGGAGTGGGTCAGACAATATGCCCACAAAGAAACAAAACCTAATACATCCATGAACCATAGATCTTCTAAAATACCATGAACAAAACGAACTACACAGACCTGGAAAATATGCGATTTCTGCACTTTGAGTGGTCAATCTCAAAATTATTTGTGGCTGGGGTATCATTCAGTATGACTGCAGTATTTCCTGGTCTGTGACCTCCTGTTACTTACGTGGCAATAAAAAAAAAATGATTCTGATTCTGAAATGTATATATTGATTTCTATCGTTGTAATTTGATTAATTAGGCAAGGCAAGGCAAGTTTATTTGTATAACACAATTCATACACGAGGCAACTCAAAGTGCTGAACAAAACAAGAAAGCATTAAAATTATAAATAATCAAAGAACATTAAAAAGAAAGATAAAAATATAAGATCTATATTAAGCTAAACAGAACTGTTTTTAACCTGGTTTTAAACATTGTCAGAGAGGAGGCCTGTCTCACATCTTCAGGAAGATTGTTCCAGATTTTAGCAGCATGAATCTGAAAAGCAGCCGCCCCATGTTTAGTCCTGACTCTGGGCACTAACAGGAGTCCAGTCCCTGTGCTCCTCAAAGTCCGGGCTGGTTCGTATGGGACTAACATGTCACTAATTAGTTTCCATGTAACTTGTGACTAAAGTAATAATCTGGTGCAGAACATTTCAGTTTATGAGTTTAATGTTGCTGTGCATTGTCCCTCTCAAATAAAGAATAAACTATTTTGAATTTCCAAAATGTTAATTTCTTAGAATTCATAAAATATTCATTTCTTTAAGATGATATTTCCATTTCTTAAAACTTTCTCCTAATGGTTCCATACTGTGGACCAATAACAGGATAACAGCTCTTCAAAAATGAAGAAGTCTGTGCTTGGTTGTTTGTTTGGTTGTCATAGAAACTCCAGAACAAAGTTTTTATCTAGAAGTGTAGGAAAGGACTTTTATGTGATTGATTGGATACAAGGGAAAAGAGATAATAGATACAGGTCAATTTAATCGGTTTAAACAGTTCTATTTAGGTGTGCATACAAATGAAGTATTGTATCTTGAAACTTTTTAAAGCACTGTGATTATTTCTTTATATTTTAATTATTGATTGTCCCTTATGTTGTTTTGTTAAGCACTAGCCTTGTGTATGACTGTGCTAAATAAATAAACTTGCCTCGCTCCGGTGTAAAGTAGTGCACGCTAAACTATTTCCAAAAAAGGAATACAGTGTGTCACGTCCTCTCCTGCCATGCTGAAGATTATTCTTATGTATTTAAGATTACAAATGATTTATGAAAAACAAACTCATGGAGGGTTTTGTTAAAATCTACACTAAAGTCCTCACCACCTTAACTGCTTTCCTGTTAAGGCTTGTTGTATATGTTTCAGTAACACTAGAACTCAAAGAATTCTGAAACTACGAGTACTTCGAGTTTTTTAGGGAATAATTTTGGGAAACAGTATTTATGAAACAAGGAAATGTTAGGTACTCCATCTTTAATATTAATTTTGGGAATCAAGTGCAATTTTTTTCAAGATTACTTTTATTCCTGCAGTGTAGTAGATATATTTGAAATCGTTTCCCAGGAAAGACCGACCAGCTGCAATCCTGAGAAGGTAAAGGCAATATTACCCTTTAAGAATTGAATATTGTAATTCTAAATGTGAACTTTGAGAACCATTGGCACAGTCTATGATGATCCAGCTTCAGTGAGGCTCGGTTCAGATGAGGGAGTTGTGGCTGGATCAGTGTCCGTCAGTTTCTCTTTTGTGGAGGTTTTTGTGCCTTTTCAGAGTGGAACTTTGGGCAAATGCTCTCTTGCAGACGGGACAGCTGTAAGGAGTTTCCCCAGTGTGCGTCAAACTGTGTCTCTTAAGACATTGCTTGTTCGAAAATCTTTTATTACAGGTCGTACAGCGGTAAGGCTTTTCGCCTGTGTGTGTTTTCAGATGTAAACTTAGATTTCTTTTAGAAGAAAATTGTTTCTTACAAGTTGCACAGCTGAATGGTTTTTCCCGTTTGTGCGTGTTCATATGGTATTTCATTCCAGAGACGTCTGTAAATACTTTATTACAAATGGAACAGCTGTAGGGTTTCTCTCCCGTGTGGGTTCTTTTGTGCCGATTTAGTGAGTTCATGTGGGAAAATGTTTTGTTACAGACTGAACAGCTAAAAGGTCTCTCCCCTGTGTGTGTCCTTAGGTGAACCTGTAGTCTAGAGATAGCGGAAAACATTTTATTACAGAAGGAACAGCTGAATGCGTTTTGTCCTGTATGCGTCTTCATGTGGTCGTCCAAAGCACTTTTATGGTAATATGTTTTGTCACAGACTGAGCAACTGTAAGGCTTCTCTCCTGTGTGTGTCGTCACATGGGAAATTAGACTCTGTTTGGAAGCCAGTGTTCTGTTGCATGTTGGACAGGTGAAGGCCTTTTCCGAGCTGTGTTTACTCATATGGTATCTCAGGTGACTCGGGTCCGCAAATACTTCATGACAGATGAAACAGCTCAATGTTTTTTCGACCGTGTGTGTCCGTTTATGATCATACAAAGCACCTTTGTTGCCAAATGCTTTGTTACATATTGAACAGCTGAAAGGTTTCTCTTTTGTGTGAATCCTCATGTGTGTATGTAGAATGTAGATAGACGAAAAGGCTTTATTGCAAATTGGACAGTCAAACGGCTTTTCTTTTGTGTGTGTGATCATATGATTTTTCAATGAAGATGGGGTGGGAAATTCTTTGTGGCAGACTGAACAGCTGTACAGCCTTTCACCAGTGTGTCTTCTTTTGTGAGATATTAAACCAGTAACCTGATTAAACTTTTTACTGCAGAAGGAACAGCTGAAGGGTTTCTCTCCTGTGTGCATTCTCATGTGTTCGTCTACATTTCTGTACATCTTTTTACATACAGGGCACTGCTGCAAGGGTTTTGGAGACTTGTTTCTATTGATTAAAGTGGTAGACAGATTTGAGTTGGCTCTGATCTTGAGGACATGGTTGAAGAAGTCTTCATCATCTGAACAGTTGGTCTCTGCGCCCCTTTCTTCATCATTGTCAGAATATTCTGTGTCTCCCTCAGTCTGTGGGTGTAAATGTGGATCTGTGTTGATGTCCTGAGGTTCCTCTTCTTTGAATTCAGTTTGAAACAGTGAAGATTCTTCAGTCTTCACACTCACAGTACTCGACTTTAAGACAGATCTGAAAATCATAAAAATAGTATAAGAGGGGATGCAATTACACATTATGGTCGTGGACTTTAAGGTCGGACTGAGTGGCGGCAGAGTCACTTTTCTGGCCAAAAATAGTATACAGCCTTACATGACTATACTTTGCTATTTTACACACACTTACAAACACACGGGAAGAAAATATATAATTATGTATACACATTTTTTTTAGTATTAGTTCTTTACTTAATACTCACTTGTGATAGAAGATAAGTGATAAAACTGTTCTGTGGTTAGAAAAGTAGATACCGCGGCTGCAACATGGATATAAAAGATAGTGGACATGAATAATACAGCTGCATTTGGCACAGATCATGATCCATTACACTTTCCTCAAGCGACTGTGTGCAACTGTGGAGCTGTTTACTTGTTGCTGTGAGGGTGTTTGTGTACAAGGCGTGCAGGACATGAATGTGCATACGGCCGAACATACCAAGTGGGGGATAATTGTTTATAACTACAGTTTTGTGTGAGAACTTGTGAATGAATGTAGAGTTCAACATTCATAATAAACCCCACAATAGTTCAGCATGGGGCTAACACTAAACAGCAGTGAGAAGTGTATAGCTACATGTCTTACACTGGCAGCTGCTCTTCCTCTTCTTTGATGGTCACTTCCTGTGGTTCCTCTTTCCTCTTAATATACGAAGATTCTTCCTTTATTAAAGCTCTCCGCCTTTGGTCTTTAGACATTTTATAAACTGTTTCAGCTTTAGCTCCGAGCAAAACACACCGGAAACAAAGCGATCTGCAATTACCCGGAAGAGAGACTGCTTCTGCGCTCTGATTGATCGTTCGCAAACTTATGCGTGTTGCAATTGGCCGAGACAAAAGTAGGCGGGATATGAAATAACAACATGAAGTTGCGTACCCTTTCCAGATAAGACGTTGTTCATATTGACACATATTACTTAATTATACTCGGGTATTTCCCCCTTTAATTTAAAACATATTCTAATTAATATATAATATTATAAAGCCTGATTTGTAACTCCATGTCTTTTCAATCTTTCACGTCACATTGGGAGTAAATTGGATCTGGGGTGTCCTGACCATGGCATCCAGCTTGAGATACACATTGCTAAAAATGCTACAGTGAGAAATTACGAATAAGAATTTCTCGTCATTTGCACTTAAATTTTAATTGTTGGGGGCATTCTGGGTCGGGCCTTTACAGTGCATGGTCGGGCCATTTCCCCAACCCAGAAGGGACACGTGCACGTGTGTCTACTGTTTCTGCGCTGGCAGATTTTGCCTCCTCTCATTTATCTATATTCAGTGTAAAATATGGTCTATGAATGTGACTATCTAAATTCTTCTGATCATCATAATGAGTGTAACAACGACAAGAGACAAACAAAATGTGTACAAAGGTGCATGACGAGGGTTAAGTACAGGTAAAAACCATGTATATATATATATATATATATATATATATATATATATATATATATATATATATATACAGACATACATGACTATGAAAATTGTAGATTCACATTGAAAGCATCAAAACTATGAATTATCTCATGTGGAATTATGTACGTAATAAAAATATGTCTTATATTTTCGGTTCTTCAAAGTAGCCACCTTTTGCTCTGATTACTGCTTCACACAATCTTGGGATTCTATTGATGAGCTTCAAGAGGTAGTAACCTGAAATGGTCTTCCGCAACAGTCTTGTTCCCAGAGATGCTTAGCACTTGTTGGCCCTTTCGCCTTCACCCTGTGGTCCAGCTCACCCCAAAACCATCTGGATTGGGTTCAGGTCCAGTGACTGTGGAGGCCAGGTCATCTGGCCCAGCACCCCACCACTTTCCTTTTTGGTCAAATAGCCCTCACACGCCAGGTAACGATGGGCTAACTTCAGAATTGTATCATCAATTTTCACATGAGATTTCTGAATTTCTTCTTGCAGTTTACAATGAATCCATTAACACTGAAGAGTTACCTACTTTAATGAAACAAGGTCTCATAACTTTAATACAGCCACATAAAGCCTCATTGCTTAGTGATAATTCGGGCGTTCTGCTCTCCCAAAATTCCATCCGATGGGCGGGGGAGCGACTGAATTTTGCGTTGCATTATGGGTAACACTTGCCTTCGCAACTTCCTGTTCTCTCTGCCCGGCGCATTTTCTCTAAATGGTTGAGTGTTTTCGTCATTTTCTGTATGCAAATACATTCCCGTCTCTAACTAGTGGCATATCGCGCAAATCATCCGTCCAATTCACATTCTTCCCTCTTAGCTGAACTTCATTCTCATTGTTACCATCTGTCACTCGCACACACAGCCGTTTTCGTTCACTCTGCTCGCTGTCATCTTCTTCTAAATCTTCATAAACACCATCCGCTCGTTGAACTAGCAACAACAATTCCTCCTTTCGTTTTCCCACACTGCAAATACCCTTTCGCTTCAACCTTTCACGCAATTCAGGCACTGTCAATCGTTTGTTGTTTTCGTGAGCCATATTCGCCATTGTATGAAATCAACCGGAAGTGAACTGGGCAACAAACGGTGTCATTTTTTGATCACAGCGCCGCTCAGTGGATGAAATTTTGGGAGAGCAGAACGCCCGAATTGGCGAGGTATTACATTACCCAAAGATGATTATAACATTTTAGCATCCCTTTTGGCTTAAAGATTAAAATGTGGTTTAAACGATACTGTTCGTCTCAAAATGGATTCATGCCCGGGAGGCAAATAGCAGAAAACATGAGATTAGTTTTAGATCTCGTTCACTATAGGGACTTATTGCCAGGTGATCCTTTGATATTTTTTTTCCAGGTTACCAAAAGGCTTACATTTATTTTTGATACATTACATTTTCTAAATTTTTGAAATTTCTTCATCAAAGCTCTTAAGAATCTTTATCAGAATAACAACAGTGCTGTAAAATTGCTTTATTGTACATCTTACATATTTGATATCAACAAAGGTGTAAGACAAGGTTGTCCAGTCTCAACATATATTTTTTTACTGGTGGGACAGATTCTGAATTATTCGACAAAGCTCCTTTAAAAGGATTAAGGTTTTTGAGCAAGAAATTAAAATAGCTCAATTAGCTGATGATTCAACTATATTTCTTACAAATGCTGAAGAAGTCCAATTAGCCTTGTCCACAATATCTACATTTTCAAATATTTCTGGGCTAAAACTTAATTTTAAAAAAATGACATTCTAACTTTATACAATACTATTGCGACATCCCTGTGAAGGATATGACTTATTTAGGCATAAAAATATCTAAGGAGAGTAGAAATATGACAGAAAATGTTTCGTCTGTCAAAGAAGAAATTTAATAGCTGGCTGGAAAGAGATCTTTCTATTAATGGTCGAGTTTTGTTAAGCAAGGCAGAGCTAATGTCCAGAGCCTCTTACATATTCTCAACACTAGATGTCTCCAAATCACTCTGCTCTCATCTCGATAAAATCTTATTCAAATTCCTGTGGAAAAACAAAGCTCATATAATAAAACTGTTCTCACCAATTCTTTAGCTGAAGTGATTGGATGTTTTAACTTTTACTGTTTAAAATCAGATTTGGAAAATTAATTGGATAAAAAGAATTTTAAAAATTCCAAATTGTTTATGGAACATCTTCCCAAATTATTTTTGGGTAAAATGGGAGGCCTGCATTTTCTTCTGCATTGTCCCTTTGCTGTTGGAAAACTCCGTCCATCCATCCATTTTCTACCCTTTAATCCATTTCTGGGTCAGGGGGGTGGCAATCAGAGATGCCACCCAAGTCTCATAGCACCAGCCCCTCACTGACCTTCTGCAGGTGGTGAGTCCACAGGAGGACGGCGGCTCTCTGAGTGTGAGCATAACCTTGATCTTTCAGTGGGGTCTTTTGGCAAAGTGGGGTTAAATGTCTTGCCCAAGGACACAACAACAGCAGTCATCAGTGGGAGTCGATGGAGAAGGTGCAGAGGTGGGAATTGAACCCACGACCTTCTGGCCTTAATGCCAATGCTCTACCAACTGAGCTACTGCTGATGGAAAACTTCATGTGAAAATAGCCAATTTTCACAACATAATTGTTTATGTTTAGAGAACTGGTTTGACAAGAATATAAATACTGTGAAACAACTTTTAGATGATAATGGTGATTTTTATGATTATAAGGTTTTTACAGAATACAATACTCAAACACCTGAGCATGAGTTTGATGTGGTTGTAAAGTCGATACCTCAAAGTATAAGATCATTAGCACAAAGTATTCAATTTATTGACTCACATTTCACTGATGTTTCCATTTTAGGTGTAAGCTTACAAGATAAGAAGTGCACGAACAAATATATATTAGGGATAGTCTTATACAATTGACCAATCCAGTTTGTAAACATAGGTGGGGTTCATTTAACCGAAAATATTGGACTCACGTTTTTTTGTTGCCCTACAAATATAAGTCAAGGAATGTTTATTTAAAATTGTTCACAAATATTACCCTGTAAAAGACGATGTTTGTCATTTTTTACCTAATGTAAGTAACCAATGTTCCTTTTGTCAATGTGATGGTGAAAGTATTGAACACTTATTTGTTGAATGTCCTATAATAGTTTGTCTCTGGTCCAATGTGCAAAACTATTTGGATGGAATATTCCATAAAAATGTTATTATTTCCAAATTTCAAATGTTACAAATATGTAATGATCCAAAATTGTCCTCTGATGAAATCTATATTATAAATCTAATACAACTAACTAATGTGCCACAACTTCCGCGATCTATGGGTAGTTTCAAAATGGCTGCGGGGGCTGGAAAATGTGAAAAAACGCATCTGCGCATGCGTCAGCCGGCACAAGCCCCATTCGTTTAATGAGTGCCTTCAAAAATTCACAGCAACTAAACTAGACTGGTCCAAAAAATTTACTCCCCTCAGCAATGACACACATGTGGAAGGGAGCTTTGGGCCAAGTGCCAACTTTTGGACCAACAGTGAAATAACAGTATTATGGGTAATACATAATGTATTATGTTTTTGAAGTAACTTGCCCAACACTGATTAACAGCGGGTGGCTCCTTTTGGCTGTTTCTTACGTAAAAGTGGAAAGAGAAGCCGCGGGAACAAGCCGCTAAAGTGCACATTTTAAATGTAATTGTCTTTAAATCTGAAGGAGGTTTGTGACTACTTTCACTCCACACTTTTTCATTGTGATGACCTCTACAAGTGTGCGAGGGGCGCCATAATATATTTTCACTTGGGGTGCCTGATGACCTAGGGTTGGCACTGGGATAATGTATAGTAGGGCGGAAGCAGACCCCTCTGCTGCGTGTTGGGATCGCGCGGTATCCGCTTCGCCCTGTTAGTACTTATTTTCCGATACTATACATTATCCCGCTTATTATACGGCTTTGTACCAACAGAACACACAAAATAAACTTCAGTCCTCTTTTATGAATGCCGAAAGGTTTATTTTATGACTGCAAATAAAATAGCTCCCAAAGGTTTTCCCGTGGCTATGCGAGTAACAATGAGGCTAGCAACTTCCAAACTAGAATTCTCTTGAACTGCATGAAAACTAAACACAAAATTCTGAACATCAGCGGTGAGTGACCCATACATAAACTCAACCTAAATCCATAATTCGATCCTCTGCAAATGTAAATGTCCCGGAATGTACTTCCAGGTTTATCACGATCGCTTTTTCTCGCATTAAAACAGTATTTTTGTCATTAAAACGTTAACAG